GACATTTCCCAAATTCCGACTAGGGGCATCTTCTGGAGGAGTCCGGCACTCCAAATGCACAGCAGTGAGACTGGCCGCTTATCAGGCCACATCGCAAACTGGGCTCCAGTGGGACACTGGACAAGGAAGGGCTCAGTGTTGGGCCTGCCCCTGAGGGGCCTGTCACCACAACTTTATGAAGACCAGAGTAGGTCCAGGAAGGTCTTTGCTGAGGTCGGAAGAGGTCAGGTCAGCAGTGGCTGCTAAGCGGGAGGGCTGCGGCAGGCTCTGCCCAGTCAGGGCTCTTCCTGGCCCCGGTGTAGCCGGGTCTGGGCCTTTCGAGGCCTGTCCTGTGCCCCCCTGCACTCGCTCCACCCTGCAGCAGGCACCTCCTCCTTGTCCCCCTGACCTTGGTTTCAGCCTCTGGGTGACAGCCAGTGTGGACCTGGCGCAGCGCACGCGTCGCCCCAGCCATCCTCACGGCCACCCTATGGGGAAGGCATTATTATCTACCCTGGTGCCCGCACAGAAATGAGGCACTGGTGAGCGAGTCACTTGCTCAGAGCTGCAGAGGTCTGGCTCCAGAGGCTACTTTGGCCACCTGCCCTACTGGAGACTTTGTGCTCCTGGCATCCGTCAGGCCAGAGAGCCCGAGTGCAGGGCACGGTCCCTGGCCCTGCCTCCATCTCTGTGCCCTGGGACGGCCGGCGCCTTGCAGATTCCCAGGCAGCACGGAGCATCCGGGAGGGTACAGGTGCACGGAGCGAGTCTATGGGGACTGCCTCACACAGCTGTTCCCAGCAGTGGGGAAGGGTGGAGAGAGCTGCATCGATGTACACTGGAATTTGGGAGCCCTGTGACTGGGTGTGGGGACCCATGCAGCCCTGAGACTCAGCCCATGGCTGTAGGCTCACTCCAGGGCTGTTAGTGGGTCCCTGGCTGAGCCAGCCTGTGCCTGAAGCTGGAGGGGGGCACGACACATCTTCCTCCCCTGCAGGGTGCTGGCCCCTGTTCCCAGCATGCAAGGTGACTTCACCCCAGGGACCCCTAGAGTCTTCTCCCCAGAGGGTCGAGGGCTGGACGCTGGTATCCCACCAGCTCTGCTTCTAGCCTCCAGCAGCAGCCCAGAGCTGGTCCGCCCTACGCACACCAACCTCCCTCATCCACCCATTGGCAAGAGCCTTGTTTCGGGGGGGCGGATCTCTGACACATTCCCGAGAGTAGGAGAAAAGCCCCAGAGAAGGCGGAAGCAGGGGAGGCAGGGGGTGGAGGAGGCTGGCAGAGAGTGGAGGTTGATTTGGGGGAGGACGGGGTGGAGGAAGGGGACAGGGGTGGGGGTGGCACCACAGTGGACAGCAGAGGAGGCAGGTGGGGCTGAAACGCAGCCCAGGCCCCACTCACAGGCCACGTCCCCCTTTCTGTTTCCCACAAAGGTGCCATGTGGCCCCGCCCCGGGCAGGGGCGAGGGGAGGCTCTCCTGCTCATCCTGAGACCCCTTCTTGAGGGCGACCAGGAGAGGGGAAGCAGAAGCCTGTGGTCCCATCCTGGCCGCTGCTCCCTGCCCTGTCACTCCAGAGCCACTCGGTCACAACAATACGGCTTAGGAGGGGCCACTTCCCACCACGCTCAGGGCTGTGTCCCGGGGCGGGGGGGGCACACCTGGTGGCGCCCTCCCCTCCTTTCTCTCTTCACCCGACTCCTGCAGTGAGTCCCTCTCACCAGGGCCGCGTGACACCCACCTGTGTATTCAGGAAAGCAGATGGTCAAAGGTGACTTCTTGATCTTCTCGCCAAAGAGATCTTTCTTGTTGAGGAAGAGAATGATGGAGGTATCGATGAAGAACTTGTTGTTACAGATGGAGTCGAAGAGCATGAGAGACTCGTGCATGCGGTTCTGCAGCCCCAGGCGGGGGAAGAGAGAGCAGGACAGACAGCAGGAGGGAGAGACACAGAGACAGGGAGAGAGAAGAGGAGAATTAGGTTCCAGAGGGCGGGACCGGGCGGGACAGCAGCCCGAGGGGGCCCCTGTGCCCCCAGCTCCTCCGGGAGGCTGTTGAGAGAACCCGCAATTGGTAACGTGTCACAGAGCGTCTCGCCCCCGACTCCCGGAGCACCTGTCAACTCAGGGCCGGTGGCAGAGACTGGACTGGGAGCCGGCGATGGCTCTCTGGGGAGGCCCAGGACAGGGCGACCTGGGCTCCCCCACCGCAGAGTCCACAGCCACGGGAGGGTCTCTTGACACGTGTGTGTGTGTGTGTGTGCTGCGTGTGCAAACGTGCTGGGAGTCCTGGGGATGCTGGATCGGACCTTTCCTCCCAGACCCAGTTTGTGGGTGGGGGGTATTTGCTGGTGAGAGGAATTTTTAGGCCCCTTGCGTGCGCCAAGGGAAGTCAGGCCAGGTCCTCCAGCCTCCTGGGGATGCCCTGCCCAGGGCTGCCTCCAGGAGTGCCGGGGGACTGGCCACGCCCCCTCCGGCTGGTCCGGCTCAGCCGCATCTGCCCTGCAAGGTGCCCCACGCGAGGCCGAGGAGTGCTGCCTCCCGCACAAGCAAATGGAGGAAGGTGCTGGGCGCCCCACGAAAAGCCGAGAGGGAGGCGGCCAGCCTCTTGCCCTGGGCAAGGCTGATTTATTCCACTTGGGGATGCCAAGGCCACTCACTCGGGTAACCTGCGCCCCGGCAGTGCAGAAGAGCGTGCTTCCTGTGAACCCACCCATCTCCGCATGGGAAGGTGGGGGAGGGACAGCTGCCCTTATTTTCCCCAAGAACTCTGTCCCAGCCCTGGGGGCTTGTCCGTTGCAAACCCAACTCCGTGGGTCTAGAGCCCAAGCCCAGAGGTAACCCAGGCTGGACTGTTTAGCAGTAAGAAGATTGGAACAAGTAATAGGAATGAGAAGAGCTGGTGTAGCTGCTGCTGGGCATATTCACTTGAGAGATGAACTCGGCCCCCAGGGACGACCAAACAGCGGGAGCCGAGCGAATTGCTGCATCAACTGCCACCGCCGTCCCTGTCTGAGCAGGAGGGTCGGAGATGCAGTGACACCCAGCAGCCGGCACTATACCTGCCTAGTGTCATTCAGCCTCGTCGACGCCTGGGGGACACTGAGGTGGCACAGCTGGCACCCTAACGTGCAGAGACTTGCACCAGCTCTGGGCCACATCTAGAAGTTACTACCAGGTTTCTCTGGGTCGGTATCAGCGTCTCGAGTGGGAGCATCAAGGAGTAACGAGGAAGAGACTGGGGCACCCCACTCGTCTCTGGCTCGTCCTCCCCTCAGTAACGTCCCCCCCTGCGTTATGACACCAGCCCTGGCAAGGGTATCAGCCCCAAACCCTGTCCTTACTGGCTGAGGCTGGCAGCGGAGGGGTGGTCTGAGTTCTCAGTCTCCCCCCAGGAGCGCCCAGACTGCGGCATGGCGCTGTGCCCCTCTGGGACCTGCAGCAAACGGCACTGTCCTTTCATTCTGCTAAACAAATGCAGCGAACGCGTGTGACCCCAGCACGTTCTCACCCTCCGCCAGAACGCCTCACTCTCCGGGAAAGTCTCCCGGCGTCTGCACCGTCCCACCCAGGGAGGAGCAAGACTCGCTGGCCCCGTGCGTGCGGTCTCGGCGGAGTCTGCTCAGGGCAGGGCATTGGGAGGTTTCCCGGCGGCCCGTGAACCCGCGTGCGGGGCTGGAGCTGTGCACACTCAGGCTCACTGGACCGCATCTGGGGGCGGCACGCTGAGGCTCGGACACCCGAGGACTCAGTGGGCACCACAGAGGCGCCTCGCCCTGTAGCTCTCAACAAAGAGCTGAAAACCCGCAGCCAGAGGCAAGTTCCCAACTCGACTGCACATCTGTCCCGGACGCTGCTTTGGTCTACACACGCTGGGGGACGCGCTGGGGACATATGGCCTGGGCACCCCCAGGGCCACGTGGGAATCAGAGGGGCTGCCAGTGGGACTCGAGCTGAGAGTGGGGACTGTGCCCCTTTGATACGTGGGAGGGGCTGAAGGTCTCTTCTTCAACAGGCCGTGGAGCTTAGGCTTGGAGGAAGAAACCCGGCCAGCTCACTCAGGCTCCTCGGGTCCACCTGCCAAGGCTTGCCCCGCCCCCAGCGTCCGGTGCCCTAGCACACGCTCACTCCTTCCCGCCAGCACCGACTGGCGCATGCAAGGCCCTCCGCTGGGGGCCACAGGATGGAGGAGTGACAGGTCAGGCTCCTGCTCTCTGAGAGCTCACAGTCTAGTCGGGGAGAGACTACGCACGCACATTAAGAAGGTCTGCGGTCCCAGGAGTGACGCAGAGCAGAGAGGTCCAGGGAGCAGAGGACATGCACAGCCAGACCTGGGTTTTGGGGTAGAGGGCCTTGGAGGGAGCCCGGAAAGAAAGGCTGATCCCGGGGACTTGGGGAGGGCACTGAGGAGGGGAGATAGATGCTGCAGGGCAGGGAGGGGACGCACTGAGACCCCCGCTGTGCCCCCCAGGCCTGACTGCCACCCCCCACTGAGCAGAACCCGTCACAAGGAGTCAGAGAACAGCTCATCCTTACAAGCTTCCCCGGAGGAAGCAGACTCGAGAGCACTCCAAACGGAACCACCATCACGTGAGCAAAGAGAACGAAGCCAGGGGTCACAGCCAGCCAGCAGCCACCTGCCCCTGCCTGTGACCCCGTCCCGCGGAGCCACTGGGAACCCTCCCCAGGCCGTCTCCCTCAAGTCCTCCACCTGCCCCAGACTTCAGGGGAGCCCAGGAGCAGCAAGCAGCGGTGCTGGCGCGGCCTGGCTGGCAGCAGCGCTGAGGCCAGCACCAAGCACCCGGGACAGGAAGGTGCTTGGCACGGGATAGTGCTCCTGCCCGGCGGCACTCCTGACAGGCGGCCAGTTGCCCTGGTCCTCCTGACCGCAGCATGGCTGTACCTGCTCTGCCAGGCTGCCTGCCATCCGCCGACCAGGGCAGGGCACGAGGACATGCATCGTGCGGGTGTGCCTGGCAGAAGCTCCCTGGGCACCGACACAACACATCACGCTCACGCTAGGAAAAGCTGGCACTTTTTATTAACGGTAGGTGACTAATAAATACATTACGGCAGCCAATAAATTATTACAATAACTAGAGATTTATTAAACCAACAAGTCACTTCTCTTACAAAATGACAGTTAATATGGGTGGGTGGCGGCGGCGGGTGGAGAGGGGACCACTGCACCTAAGAGCGAAGGCTCCGCTAAGGAGGGTGTGGGCGGGAGGGGCGCGGGGGGCAGTGGGGGTGGGGGCCAGGCCAGCAGGGTAGAGGAGAGCAGGGGTGAAGGGCCCGCTGCTGAGAGCTGGGAGGGCAGACACGGGGCGTGTGGCGGGCAGGGGAGGGAGACGCCCCAGGCACGGCCGTGGGCTCTGCTGGGAGGGGCTGTGTGTTTACGCTGGTGGTCTTGGCGCTGGGCCTGGGATGACAGCTCCCCTTCCAGAGGGAGCCCCTCTCAACGAGGGGTCTGTCCTGCCCCTTCCTTGACAGGGGCCGTCACCTGGCTGGAGCGGGGTGTGTCCGGAGGCTCCAGCCCACTCTCCGGGCAGGGGGATCAGGGCTCTTCTTGCAGAGGAGGGGCAGCCCGACCACAGACCCCGTCACAGCAGGTCAGGCCTTGGCCCTGTTCCCTGCGCTGCTGGGACCCCTCACTCTGTCGGCTTGTGGCCTGACCGGGGAACTGGCTGGAGGGGTGACTGTTTTCAGCACCCCAGACCGGACCTCTGGTGGCCATGATGCCAGAGCCTCGGGTCCGGAGCCTGAGGACTACCTGAAGGCTTCCAGAGACTCCGAAAAGAGCAGAGGCAGCGGAAGGGGCTCTGCGCCCAGACTTCCCAAAAAGGGGGCGTGCAGGCCACCACGCGGTCTGGAGGAAAGGGACTGAGGGTTCACTGAGAACCCTCCTGGGCTGTGTGGATTTACTTGCCAAGGGTGTTGAAGAGGGCGCTAGGTCAGAACAAGAAAGAAAGGGGGAGGTGAGGAAGGATGCGGGCTAGAGATAAGGAAGGACTTCCAGAGAGAGCCCCCGGCTCTAACCGTGAGCCGTGCGGGTGGGAGCTGGGGCTGCTCTCCCCTGCAGGACTCACTGGCCGAGGGAAGGGCTTGGGTGAAACCGGCTTGCAGAGAAGATGGCCTGTTTATGGGGCTGAGCGGTGGGGACTTGGGGCTGCTCCTGTCCCTGGGGACACTCGGGGAAGCCCAGTACAGTACCCAGAGAGCAGGGCCCTCCAGTTCCCACAGTGGGGTGTGGAGCTGGGCTGGGGAGGGCCCAGGAGCAGAGGCACCTTCTGCACCAGGTGTGGTGGGCTCCTGCCTGGGCGTGCCCACTAGCCCCGGTGGGAGTGCACAGCCACAGACAGGCCCCAGGCTCTGCTGGGCCCAGCGGGGAGAGGAAGGGACAGGGCAGCGGGCACCTAGGGTCTGCACGGAGCCCAGAATGCCAAAGCTGTCGGCGGGGCCCACACTGTGTTCTCTGCTCAGGGCTGGACAGACCCCACGCCCTCCTCAGGCCAGAGTCCAGCTGAGCCTTGGGCCTCGGGCACCCCTCACCCCTCCAGTCAGGCCAGAGAGCCTTGGGGACCTCCGTCAGTGCTCAGAGGGAAGGATGAGACCTGGCTCGTACGACGGCCATGGTGCAGGGCACGGAGCGTGCCCACAGGCATACACGTTTGGCATAGGCACTTCCTAGAAGTCACTTTCCCCTTGGCCTGCTAAGTTGGAGCCATGCCGAGAGCTGCCCATGGCCCCATGGCAGCACACGCGGGCCACTGTGGGCAAGACACCCCCACGTCTGTTCACTTGCATTTCCCCACGTCCACATTCACGACGGAGCCGAAACCTGCCTGTCACCCTCAGTCGTCCTCCCCTGGTGGAGCTGCCAGCGATGACACAGACGGGAGACGCGCACGGGGAGACAGTTTCTCCCTGGATACCTCGGAAGGACAAGGACCCCGGCAGGCCGGTGGGAGGCAAGAGGCAGAGAGCCACGCATGTCTGGGGGAGGGAGGCAGCCTGGGGCCAGGGGTGGGACGGCCCGAGCACCTGCTCCCCACCCTGGTTCCACAGAGGGGTCTGCGGTCCTGAGCCCAGCCCTGAGCCCAGCCCGGGGCTCTGGCCACTGTCCCCCTGTGGTTTGAGGGGCGGCTGGCAGAGGTGGAGAGCTCTGGGGCTGGAGGGCCGTTGGCCCACTGGCAGGTGATGGCCTTAGAGGTGGGGTTTGGCCTTGGCCTCTTGCCAGCTGCTCTGAGTTGGGGTCACAGTCTGGAGCAGCATTAGGGGCATGGCTGCCTCAGCCAGGGCGGTGATGCTGGAAACGGCTGCTGTCGGCAATGTGGGCAAATGGCTTGGCTGGCCCTGGCCGCCCATGGCAGGACATGGACACTTTCTGCCACGTCCCAGCACCTGGTACCAGTTCCAAAACACCATAGGTGAGCAAACAAAAGTGGATTTGGGCTGGCAGGGCAGCTCCTGCAGCCTGGCTGCTACAGGCAGCAGCAGGACGGCCAGACCAGGGAGGGGCTCCTGGAGGCACCGTCCCTGTAGGCATTTGGCACCAGGGAGGGTCCCCTGGATCTCCCATGCACCACCCAGAGCTCTGTACCTGTTGGGGCCAACAAGCCCGAGCTGTTGGCACAGGCTCTTCCTGGCTCTGGGGCAGTCCAGAGGGCTGCACGTGCGAGCCCAGGGGCCTGCCCGGCCAGGGACTGAGCAGGGCCCAGAGTGGCGGCCGGGGGAACGGAGGGCTGGAGGAGGGAGGCAGAGGCCTCTCAAGGCGCGGGCTGGGTCCCCAGGCACAGCCTGCCACGAGCACACAGGCCGGCCTGGGCACCTCGGAGTGAGAGGGGTGTGTCGATTACCCAAGGCCAGCTAGGACCGGGGTCACAGAGGATACCCCACCCCTTTCTGCTCAGGGGTCTCTGCAGTGAAGCCCCTCTAAGGGGTCCTAGGACTCTCCCCCTAAAGTGGGGGGCAGGGGGGCGTGTTTGAGTCTGACTGGGACCTTCACAGCTCACCCAGGCGATTGGTCCCATCCACCCGCCCCCTCTGCCCCCAGGGGCTGGGGGGACACCAAATGCTGCAGACAAACTCCCCGATTTCCTCACCAAGACGAGCGAAGCAGGGCACTGGCCGCAGGGGCCTGCTCCACAGACCCCACCCAGGGCCGCCCCAGCTACAGAACCCCTAGACCAAAGCCCTCTGCCTGCGCCTGCGGGCTTGAAATGAATTCACTGTGAATCAGATAAAGCACATCTACGCACACCTTGGGGCGGCTGCCTGAGCCCAGGGCAGCTGGAGAAAGCAGACGGGTCATCTTTGGGCCTGCAAGGCCCAGGCGGAGGCCCCAGGCCAGGCAACGCAGAGCTGCCCCCACAGCCCCTCGCCGGCACCCCCTCCTCTCCCGAACCTCTGTCCCAGCCGCGCGCTCAGCCCTCCTGCCACCCTGCCCACTGCCTTTGGGATAAGGCGGCTTCAGAAGCATCTCCAGGCCTAGGCAGGGCAATGGCTGCGGAAGGGCACACAGAGCAGGAGGGGCTGAGCCCCAAGGGGAGGGAGGAGCAAGGCACTCGCCCAGGCCCGAGCCGCAGACGCACAGGAAGTTTGCTTGGTTCTGGAGCTGCCCTGGACCAGAGACCCCAGGCAAAGCTGGGGGATGGCCCCTACTGCCTCCGACCTGCCAGCACCCTGCCACGGGGCTGTCCTGCCACCCCCGATGACAGGAGGACACTCCAAGACTTCAAGAGAGTCATCAAGTGCAGGCTGTGCCCGTCCTGGACAAACGGCGGCCCTCCTCCCTTCCCGGCCTCTAAATGCAACATGTGGCGGCAGTGACAGCGGAGGCCACAGAGGCTCGAGTCTCCTGGCCTCCTGGGCTGCGCTCAGCACCCCAGCCCTGCCCCCGCGTTACCCCGGGTTCTGATGTCGCGGGCCTGGGGTGGGGCAGGTGGAGGACACTCCCCGCCCCTTGCTGCCAGCCTCTGGGGTGTTCTTCCTCAAGTGCAAGGAGTGGTCTGAGGGTGGCGGAGCTCTGGTTCCGGGGGTGGGGGGGGCAGCAGGCGGGGCAGGGCGGTGGGTGCCAGGCAGGGCGGCCGGGGCTCTCAGTAGAGGCCACAGCCCCGCAGGTTTTTGGCGATGATGACGTCCGTCACGGCGTCAAAGACAAACTGGATGTTGTTGGTGTCCGTGGCGCAGGTGACGTGGGTGTAGACCTCCTTGTGGGCCGACTTGTTCTTGCTCTCGTACTGGGCCTGGATGTAAGCCACGGCTTCCGTGAAGGCGCTGGGCCCTGCGGGACAAACAGGCAGCGAGCCGGTGAGCGAGGCCTGAGGCCCGCCTGGCGCAACAGCCCCAGCCCTGCCCGCACGTCCACCCCTCGGGGGCCTCTCCGAGGCGACAAGAAAGGAAAAACCTGATGGGGTGGGGCAGGCTGACCAGCCATATCCACAGCGGGTCACGCATTCAGTCACCGGTTCCAGTCCAGTGTAAAAATCACGGAAGGAAGGAACAAGATATCAAGTCTTCCCACGTGTCACCTGTATTAAGGGTGAGTGCTATTTGGTGACACTTCTGTTTCCCTCTCATGTGTGCAAACTTTACGTCTTACCACGGGGTCACGTGGAAAGAGGTTGGAAAGCACTGGTCTCCTGCAGTGGCCCTGGCTGAGGCCGCCCTGGCTGGGCCCCCTCCTGCTGTGAACCTGCAGAGCAGCCCTGAGGCCGGGCCGGGAGGGAGGACCAGTCTGTGAGCGCCTCCCGCTTCAGGCGGTCACTCTGGGGGAAGAACTGCCTGGCTTGGCCACCTGCTGCCTTCGTCTGCGTGCACCAGATTGCTCTGGTGCCCAGGTAGGCTCAGGGAGAGGGGAGTGCACGAGAGAAGCTGCTGGTTTGGAGGGAGCAGGAGAGCGGGACCCAGGCTTTGCACGGAAGCCCCACAGCCTCCAGGAATCTGGACCCAGCACAGGGAGAGCTGAGATGGCCCATGCAGGGAGTGGCAGGGTGGGGAGCTGGAATGGCATGCCCAGAGGGGCTGGGCCATCTGAAGCACATGCGTGCAGGCCACCAGGCCTGGCCTCGAGGGTCTAGCAGACCACAGCTCTTTGCCAAATCTGGGCTGGAGGGGAGGGGAGTGTCCCTGGGACTGCAGCAAACTACTCAGACCCCTTGGTCAGTGGTACCCTCCTTCCCCACCCCAGCCCCAAGCTGGCCTTGGTGACTGACCCACCCTGCCTGTTCCACTGCCCCACAGGCCACAAGCCCAGGTCACTCGGATGAGAGCCGCAGGCCCCCAGCTATGGCTAGGGAGAAAGCTGGCTGCGGGGGTGAGGGGGATCCAGCCCTGACCACCTCTGGCTAGACACGCCCGGGACCAGGCCTGTGGGGCAGTTGGCCTGATCCTGAGCGGGGAGGAAGGGAAGACAGGGGGTGGGGAGAGCTATGACGCCTGCCTGCCCCAAGCCCACTCTCAGGGAAGTGGAGTCAGCCCGAGGCCTTCCCTGGCGACCACAGGCCCGCCCTGCGGGGACCATCTGCACCTGCTCTGTGCTCTCTGGGCCTGAGGGCAGACCAGGCTGAGGACAGCCCCGTCGCCTCTGGCCAGGGCCTGACCATCTCCAGATAGCTGATGGGCTCTGGGCTATGGCCCTGCAGCTCCTCAGGGGCCCCGGTCAGTCTGTCCTCCTGCCCGCCCGCCCTCCCCATGGTCAGGGTCGGGTAAACCCCGACAGCGCTGGCCTCTTGTCCACCGCACTTCTACAGGGCAGCCAGGGCTCTGCTGCTTGCGAAGCTCTGTCATCTGAATCTTGTGGCAACCCTGGGTGGGAGGTGCTGTTGGGATGCTGCTGAGTTAGTCACGCTCCCAGCAGCAGCAGCAAACGCACAGCGAGCACCACGACACGCCGGGCCCCACGCTCAGGTCTGCGTGCGCATCCGCTCATCCTCATGGCAAAATGCGAGGGAGGCCACCAAGTCACAGCGACCCCCCCATCTCACAGATGTGGAAACTGAGGCTCAGAGAGGTCACATGATCTGCCTGGGCTGCTAGGGTATGAACCTTGGGCTGCCTGACCCAAGCTCCTGCTCGTCACCCCTCGGCAACTCAGTGTCCCCCTCAGAGACAGCATCTGTTTAAGGACGGCCCCGCGGCGGCCAGGGGCAGAGCCAGGGTCCAGCCCTGCTCCCCTTGGCGGGAAGCCCTCGCCATCCACAGTCCGGGCGCGGGGGGCCTATTGCGTGCTGGATTCCGAGGGGCGCCGCGGGCGGGCTGCGGGACCCCTGTCCTGGGGCGGGTCTCTACCTGTGTATTCAGGAAAGCAGATGGTCAGCGGGGACTTCTTGATCTTCTCCTCGAAGATGTCCTTCTTGTTAAGAAACAGGATGATGGACGTGTCCGTGAACCACTTGTTGTTGCAGATGCTGTCGAAGAGCTTCAGGGATTCGTGCATGCGGTTCTGCAACAGAGCGGAGGGGCGAGTGAGGGGTGGCAGCGTCCAGGGCCCTGCCCACCGCGGCCAACGACACATCGGGACAAGCCAAGGGAAGGTCCGCCGGTGCGGCTGAACGCAGCCTGGGACGGAGACGGGAGGATCCGGGACAAACAGGAGACGGCCCTGCTTCATTCCACACGCAGGCAGGGTGGGGCAGAGCAGGGCGGGGGTGGGAGGATGCTGCCCCCTTCCAGAGCTGGCCCGGGCGGGGGCTGTGAGGTCACTGGAGAGGCTCCAGTGCATGGAGAGGACATGCACCATGCATGTTGAGGGCAGGGGCCGCAACCACCACCGAACAGGTCTACACGGAACCGCGGGTCATGCAGATTTCTCTACCGGGGCGTCATTCGGTTTCGACAGCAAGGTTGGGAGGGTGCACGCATTCAGTTGGGAAACATTAACCGAGGACTTAGAGATCCTCGAATTAATCCCGAGTTGGAAGCAGATGCCAGGGGGACAGCGTCTCGGGGGTGATCTTGCTGTGGCCTTGGTGTGGTTGGGCGTTTTGGTTGGCTGGCTGAGCCATGGCTGGGGCCGGGGAGGCTCTAGGAGAACTGGTTGATGGGGCTGGTTTCTCAGCAGGGGGCCAGAAGAAGCCCAAGATGAAACACAGCAAAAGAGATTAAAACAGAGAGGAAGATAAGAGGGAAAGAGAGAGGAAAAAATTGAAAAATTGGTTCAACCAGTCTCGGGCCAGGACATCCGGGCCAGTCCGCGCGGCGGCCCCCGTGCAGGCTGGTGGCGGCCGAGGCCGTCCGGGGCCCTCGGCCTGCGCGGCTGGAGATGAAGGCCGGCGTGGCGAGGACGAGCCTGAGCCGAGTGCGGGCGCAGGGGCGGGCTGGGCAGGCGTCACAGCAAAGTCACCAGCGGCACCCTGAGAACCTGCTGCTTTCAACTCTTAGCTGATGGACTCGATCAGAGGGAGGTGCTTCATACCTGCCCGGCTCGGAGGGTCTCTCAGAATCTGCCCATGCTTTTGGCCTTGGTTTGGCAAGGTAAGGCCCTGCAGGCGGTGGCGGCGGCAGTGATGGTGAGAAGTTGTGGCAGCCTGAGGCCTGGCTGGGCGGTGCTGAGAGCAGGAACGAGACCAGGACCGGGCCCTCGGGGTCCCGGGGTGCGGCAGACAGGGTGGCCAGATGGCAGGCGGCAGCCATTAGCTCCGGGGACCTCTTGGCCTAGCTTCAGGAGCTGCCGGCAGACACTGTGGTCTCGGGCAGCCCCAGCTCTCACCCCAGGCCAGGGAGGGACGCACAGGGCTGACCAGAAAGACCAGCTGAGGACAAGGCCTGGGTCCCCAGGGCCTCGCTCCTGCCCCCCTGGGGCAGAGCACCCATCCTGCAACCTGCCCTCTAGCCCGGCGACCGGACACGCAGTGGTGGCAGCTGCCTCTTATGGAGCGGAGGCTCCCAGGTGCAGCCATGCTTACAGCCCTCAGCCCCGAGGTCCTCACACTGCCCGCGAGGCCTGCCTACCATCATCACCACTCACAGAGGCGGAGGTGGAGGCCCGGGCAGGCGGGGCGATGGCCCACGATCGCACACAGCTGGCCGGCGTGGCCCAGTAGACCCTGGGCGAGATCTGTCCGGTTCCCCAGCTGTCCACGTCTGCACACGCCCCCCCCCCCCAACACGGTGGCCACTTAATCCTACGGCAGCGATGTTGATCGTGCTGCCACCAGGCAATGGGCTTCGAAGGTTGCCAGTTTGGGGGGAGGGAAGGACCCTAAGGAAGAACCCATCCTGACTGTGGTCCATGTGCTGTGGCTTTGTCCAGGCCCTTTGCTCCAGCCTAGCAGACCAGGGCTGGGGGCAAGTGCTCCGGGGGGAGAGCCCTGCGGGGCAGCCAGGGCCGGCCAGCCGGGATAGGAAGGGCAGACTGGAAGGCCACCCAGTGCGAGGCCAGTCCCAGGCTCAGCCCCTACACTCACTGGAACCCTGCCCCTGCCCTCAGGGTCAGGACCAGGCCTACTCTTTGACCCAACGAGAACGACGACAGCTGAAACCCAACTCAGGGCACAGCGGGGCCTGCACGAGGAAGAGCGAGGTGGCAAGCTGGCGCAGGGCATGGGGGTCACCCACCCGCCCATCAGCCCAAAGCCCCCAACTCTGCATAAGCCCCTCAGGGCGGCGGCTCCTCCTCCCCATAGCAGTGGCCCTACAGCCCACACGCCAGAGCTCACCCGTCCCCACAGCAGCCCTGGGGGCCAGCAGGGCAGGGCTGATGAGGAAGCTGAGACCCAGAGAGGAGACAGGCTTTGCTCAAGGCCCAGCACGGCGACAAGTGCACCTCAAACCCTCGGAGCCGACCCCGAGAGGCTCATGGCGAAGGTCTGTGTGTTCCAGATGGAAGGTGATGACAGACGCCAGGGTGTGACACACAGCCCACAATTCCTGCTCCTGGGAGCACTGGGGCTTGTCTCTGGTGACCCAGTGGGCCACGCGCAGGGACTGGCCTCCCCTGCAGGCTCTGCGGACAGGCCCACAGGCTGGCAGGTTGCAGCCCAGACAGGGGCTGCTCAGGGCACCCACCAACCACCGTACAACCGCCAGCTCGGCGCTGCTGTGCCAGAAACGGCTCCAAAGTGCTGCACGTGGATCATCTCGTTCCACTGCCAACAACCTCCACAAGGCAGGTACTATTATTATCTCCTTTTCACAGAAAATAGTAACTGAGGCAGAAAGGGTGCTGCCTAAATTCGGCAGCAAACCAGTGAGTAGCAGAGCCAGGACTAGGCCCAGAAGAAGGCTGCGCCTCTTGCAGATGACTGTCCCCCTCTGAAGCCAGTCCAGCAGGTCTCAGTGGCCAAAGCTAGAGCCCCAGGCTGCAGGACGAATGCAATGTACACACAGAGGTGGGAGCCTGGCCTGGTGTCCTGCAAACAAGGGGCTCAGAGCCATGACTCGCTTACCAGCATTCCTTATCTCTGCTGCCCTTCCCGGCCCACCAGGCCCCCCATGGCTCCTGCAGCACCCCTGGCCCCCCACACGGCTCCTGCAGCATCTTGGACCCCAACGCATGGTTCCTGCAGTACCCCTGACCCCCCACACGGCTCCCGTAGCATCTTGGCCCCCAACGCATGGTTCCTGCAGCACCCCTGGCCCCCCACACGGCTCCTGTAGTGTCTTGCCCCCCAGTGCATGGTTCCTCCAGCACCCCTGCCTCCCAATACGGCTCCTGTAGCATCTTGGCCCCCAACACATGGTTCCTGTAGCACCCCTGGCCCCCCACACGGCTCCTGTAGCATCTTGCCCCCCAATGCACAGTTTCTGCAGCACCCCTGGCCCCCAATACGGGTCCTGTAGCATCTTGGCCCCCCGCACGGCTCCTGCAGCACCTGAGCCTGGTACTCCAGGGAGGGCTGTCAAGGCTAAGACTGCTATTTCTGTTGCACGTACATTCTTGCTTGGTTGCACCCTGGTTTGTTAGGGATTTGCTTAATTTTGTCCTGGCCTCTATGACACAGAGCCTCCGTGACTCTGCTGAGTTTACTTTAGTAAACTTACTGCCCAAACCCAAATTCTGCAGAGCCGTTTGTGATCAGTTTGCACATGGGCTCTGAGCTGGGCGGCCCCGGTCCCCTTTGCTGTGCTGGCATCACGAGGCGTCTGCCTCTGCAAAGTGCAGTCAGGGGAGCGAGCCAGCACGGCCTGCCTACGGTGGGAGCCCCAGCTGCTGCAGCTGGTTGGATCCCAGAGCTGCCAGGGACAACTAAAGCCCGGGTTCTGGCCAGCCTGTTCTTCGGCCAGCCCCTCTGCACTGCCTCCTGTCCAGGGGGCCCGGAGACACTCACCGTGGTTTCATCTTCGTGGAGCACCTGGTCATAGCCGCTGAGCGCGACACAGAAAATGATGGCCGTGACGTCCTCGAAGCAGTGGATCCACTTCTTGCGTTCAGATCGCTGGCCCCCGACGTCGAACAGCCTGCGGGAACAGGGAGGCTGGTGGCGCAGGGTCCAGGCGGGTGGGGGTGCCTGGTGGTCAGGCTGTGAGTGTGCCCTGTAGGGCAGGAGGACGGGGCTGTGTGGTGCTTGCAGCCTTGTGGGGAGCCCTGGCTCCAGGTGCTGGCAGACGGACAGCCGGGCCACTGCCATCCCCGGTGCAGGGGCAGCCTTCACCGTCCCGAGACCCTGCTGTGCTGACACGTAGTGACTCAAAGACCTGTACTTGCGGCTGACGCGTTTTACTAAGAGGGTGCACCTGAGCTGGCCCCCCAAGCAACTCCCCTGAGAGGTCCCCCTATCGTGGCACATTCACATTCTGGTCCTTTCTGGCATGTTCTCTGGGCAAACTCCAAGTCAGCCTGGGAGGGAGGCCGGCAGGAACTGTCACCTATTATGTGGATGGTTGAAGCGAGCCACCAAGGGGCTGAGGACGTGCCCAAGCTCCTGGTGAGAGCCCGGCCGTGGTGGAGCTGGGATCTGACCCAGGTCTGGCCGAAGACAAAGCTGGTGCTGTCACCTCTGCCCTGTCCGCCCTCCCAGCACAGCCTGACCTCTCCTCCCCTCAGACTCCACCGACCAGGGGCCACGAGGGCCGTGGGCGAGACTGCGGGCAGGTGGAACTTATCTCCTGGAAGAAGTCAGCCTCCCACCCTAACCCCCTGAGCGAGGAGCCCTGCAGCCTCCCAGACCCAGAAGCCTGTTGGCAGGGGCTGTGCCCTGACCCAGTGTGGACAGGACCCCTGGTCCCCCCAGACAGAAGAGAATAGCTGCAGGCAGAGATTAGAGTGGGCTTGGAGCAAAGAAACAGGTCTGTCCTATCACCGCCTCCTGTGGGTCCTGCCGCCTCGGCTGAATTGCAGGGGTGGTGGCCCAGGGCCTCTGGGCCACTCCAGAATGCTTGCTCTCTGCTTTCTGAGGGCTGAGCCGAGGTCCCTGTTCTGTACTCCTGACGGGTGAGCAGGAGGGACTGAGAGGCCCATAAGACAAGGGAGGCCTCGAGGTTCCCGGCCCCAGCGTGGCTCCCAGAGCCCCACAGAGGGTGGCCTGCTGGGCCTAGGAACCTGGATACAGCGCCTCGGCCCCCTGAGTCTCACAGGAGTGGGCAGGGCTGGGGACATGGGAGGCAAGGAGTGTTAGAATCCAGACCCACCCTGGGCAGGGCAGAGGGCCAGGAAACAGGGCCTTACTCTGGCCACGAGCCTGAGCTCCCTGCCCTCACCTCCCTCCTGGCCTCTCTTCCTGCTGAGACCTAGAAGCCACATCTGGAAGGCCGGGCCGGAGCTCCCAGGCCTCAGAGCACGGAGGTTACTCCAGGTGGGGACACAGCCCTCCGGCAGGGCTGGAGAAACCGGCCTCACTGCTCAGGCCCCTGTTCGGAGGCCCTCACAGCCCTGGCTTCTGGCCATGCCTGGGAAAGCCTCCTTCTCTCAGGCCTCACCCCCACGTGCCCCGGGAGGCCCGGGGCAGCCGCTCTCTCGGCCCTTCCTGCCCCAGACTCCGCGGGTTCTCAGGGTCTCGCAGGCATCGCCTGGCTTCCCCAGCCCCATCCCCCACTCTCCCCACAGGTGGCCCTGGAGGGGCAGCCTGGGTGATCCTTCTCCTCCCCCCTCAGGAGGCACCTCGGGGACAGGAGGCACCTCGGGGACAGGCCGCCCCTCCTCTGTCCATCCAATCCTCCTGTCCTTACACCGCACATCGGGACCTTCCTCCGGGAAACCTTCCTGCTCACTCTAGCCCCTGAACCTGGCAGCAATGAACACGAAGTGCCTTTGGTATCTCACCACCTGCCCCAGCGCCAGGACCCGGGCGTGCCCCTGGGCCTCACCTGAAGTGGAGGTTCTTGAATGTGAAGTGGGTTTCTACGATGCCCGTGGTTTTGACCCTGGTTCGGAGGATGTCCTGCTCGGTGGGCTGGTAGTCGGCGGCCCCAATCCGATCCAGGCTGTCCAGGTAGCTGGGGATGGCAACACACAAGGGACCATGGACCGAGGACCCGGGTATTGCTCAGGCCGGGCCACCCACCTGCAGAGTCCCATCTCGGCCAGGGTCCCTCACCGGCTGACTAGGGAAATGACCGTGGCCAGCCAGGGCCAGCGGGGGGTGGGGTCGACCGAGGAAGAGGAGCTTATGGTCCCGGCCTCGCATCCTGAGACAGCCTCTAACTCAGACCCTCAGAGAGGGGCTACGTTCAGAGCTCCAGCACACTCAGACACGACTGAGCATTTAAATGAGACTACCATAGTTATAATACGATTTTGTATTTCTTCATTTTAAAAATAATAATGGCCAACAGGTAGCTTCTATTCTTTACACGTACAATAGTGTTTCATCCTTAACTTCCCTGAGTTAAATGTACTATTTTACAGATTAGAAAACTGGGGCTCAGAGAAGGTAAGCACCTTGCCCAAGGGCACACAGCTTGACCTGGACACCTGCCTCCAGAGTCCACACTTTTAGAACTCTGTAGTGCTTTGAGAGGACCCCAAGCATGTGCCCACATTTTCCACACTCCACACTTCCTTCTCGTTTACCAAGGGATCTAGTGCATCTTCCTCTTTGATGCTCTTGGAAGGGAGGTTTGGGGGCTCCCCAGCCGCACAGTGGCCAGGCCTCCCTGGGACTCAAGTCTTTGGAATCAGGGCTCTCTCCCCTTGCCACCTCTTGCTCTGGGGTCAGACTGGGCCTTTGCACTTCACCTGCCCAGGCCATGAGCCAAGCATGCAGAGAATGCTGCCTGCAAGGGTTATGGGTTAGGTTTGAACCTAAAGCCAGGGTGGGACGTGGGAAACCAGGAAGGGGGGAGCTGGGCCAGGCCTGGAGGAAGATTCAGTGATCCATGGGGCCAGCCAGGCCACCCATCTCTGGTGGCAGGATAAACAACATGGGAGGAGCCCCGAGAGTTTGAGCCGGGGTGATGTGGGGACCCAGGTTGTACTTGCTGCAGGACTGGCCGGCTGCATTCACCGCAGCATGAGAGGTGGGCGTGCTGACCAGCTCGTGGACATCCACAGGGCTGGGAAGGGCGAACACCTTTGCCAAAGGCGTTTATGATAAGCCAATAACCTAGGCCTGCCTCCAATCCCTGTGAGAAGGTCCCCTAAGAAAATAAAACAGAAGGGTTGGATTGGTTCTAAGGCTCAAGGGGTAAGCTTGAAGTCGCAGTGCTAGAAATGGACTTTGCTGGGACTCCAGCCCGGGTCTGACTGATGTACCCCAGGCCTGACCGTGTCCCCCGTGGGGTGGTAGGGAGCTAAGGCTACAGGGTGAGCCGTATGCTCCAGCCATCGCGTGGCCTCCTTGTTGGGCCACTGGGTCTGGGCAGGCTGTGGTCTCAGCCCGAGGAGCCCCTCCCAGCCCCTGTGGGCCTGCCCCCGTCCTGGCTCCCACGGCCTCTGCTCACAAGCTGTGCTGGATGCCCCATGCTGTCATCTCCAGCTGGACACCAGGCCTGGGCACCTCTGGTCTTGCCCCTCCTGTACCAGCTAGAGCAAACTTCCTTTAGACAGACAACCCGGCCCTCTGGTGTGTCCCTGTGCTGGCCGAGCCACACACAGGAGATGGCCGCGGGAGGGCGGCAAGGTGTGGGAGAAGGGTTTATCGTGCTCCAGCCAGCAAAGCTGGATGTGCAGCCACTGCCCAGCCCACCTCCCCACTGCTTGGGGTGCCAGGTAAGGGGCGATGAACAAGATCAACACAGTTGCCACCTTCCCAGGGCCTTTGTCCTAGTGTGTGTGTGTGTGAGACAACAGACAGATGGGTACGATAAGACGTGTCAGCATGTGGTGTCAGAGGAAGAATCAGGTGATTGGGGAGGGAGGCCTGCTGGGCGGCTATTTGGTGAAAGGTGGCTGGGGAAGGGGTCTGGGACTGTGGAGACAGAGGGGACTGAGCCTTGAGCGGCCCAGCAGAGAAACCGGCAGGCGCAGAAGCCCACCCTGGAGTGGGCAAGGCTGGGGTGGGTGGCCGAGGGAAGAGCGGCAGGTGTTGGAGTGGGGCATGGCACTGTGTGCCCTGGAGGTCACTGTCGGGACTTGGCCTTTTCTGCTGGTGAGTCGGGAGCCCTGGAAGGTTCCTGCCAGAAGTTCTGATACACAGCCGTGCGGCTGTAGTGACAGCCAGCAGCATGGTGGGCAGGTGCGAGGGGCGAGAAGGGGTCAGATGCCGCCTGTGATGCGCAAAAGGAGCCACCTTGCTGAGGTTCAGGTGTGGGTACGACAGGAAGAGCCGTTAAGACGCCCCACCTGCTAGAGTGAGATGCACTTGGCAGGAGAGGAAGGCGTGGCAGAAAGGGCCCCGGGAGTCCCACTGGCACATACTGACTTAAGGCAGAAGTCGGGGGGGAGGGCAGCGCTGGCGATGGGAGTTTGAGAGTCGTCCACATGTAGGAAGAATTTAAAATGAGCGGCTTAGGGAGGTTCACCCACACACCCGGCTTTGACAGGAAGAGGTCCCAGCTCGGGAGCTCCAGGGCTGGGCAGGAGGTAGTGAGGGCATCTGAGAAGGGGGCCAGAGAGGAGGGAGCAGCCAGGAGGAGGGTCACAGGCGCTGAGCAGGAGGTGGTGGTCACTGGTAACCAGAGGACCAAGAGCCTGAAGGAAGTGGCTTCAAGACAGAAGGCCAGGAGGGGAAGGCTGACAGCCAGCAGGGTCAGTTCAGCGGGGGACTGGATTTGGGAAAAGCCAAAGCTAACCAAGCCATGGAACCCTCTTGCACAGCTCCCGGCTGGATGAGCCCAGGGTTCCTGGGTTTCTGGGGGCTGTCTCAGAGCGACCGTCCAGAGGGGAGAGCCGGCCAAGTTCACAGAGGCTCCCTGCTCAGGAGCCTGGCCACGCGGACCCCACCCTCTGGGCCCTGTCCCTCCACTGGGAAGGGCTGGGCTGAGAGCTACTGGGGATTGGGGCTTCCTGTTTTACATACTGGACCCATGATTTGACTTTGTCCTAGGACGAGCTCTAACTGCTGAAACGCCACCACCACCACCACAACTCTGGGCCAGAAATCGTGTCAGGTCCTCCTGCCCTGACTGCCTGCTTGTCCCCTCTCTTTCCTGCTGTGGGACCTTCTTGCAGAGGACAGGCACAGAAGACCTAACCCCGGATAACAGGAGAGAACGGCAATATTATAAACCTTGAAAGTGGAAAATTTGAAAGGAGGCAGAGAGAGAGAGAGAGGGAGGGAGAGAAGGTGAATTTCCTCAGCTCACTCGGGGGGAGTTGATAAAAACTGACTCAAGTTTCAAGCTTCTTATTTAAACCTATAATATAAAGGTAACCACCGGAAGAACTAAAAATAATCCTGTAACTAGCAAAAATCTGGAGCTGGGGTGGAGAGAGCTGGAAGGAAGGAAGGAAGGAGAGCTGAGTTCCCCGGATTTCACAGTGGGGGTTCTAAGAAGGTCAAGTTTTCCTGGATGTCACTGGGACAAATTAATGGAAATGGGTAAAAGCGGGAGAGGGCAGGTCTGGGGGTGGAAGAGACGATTGCCCCTCTGTGTTGTTCAACATTACTTCTGCAATGCACTCATGGCATAATTAGTGAACTGGGTAAAACTTTAAGGGGAGGATCTGATGAGCTGCCAGCAGGCAGACCTGGGCGGGGGGCAGGGAGAGAAGGGAGGAAGGCCTCTCTGGCCTGCAGCTCTGGGTCTGTGACCGAGCGTGCACAGGAAGCTGCAGACCCCAGCCTCTGGGTCACAGCCCTGCCCACCGAGGAGTCTGTGGGGCTCATCAGGCCGGGGGCCCAGGGAGCCATCACCCGGGACTTGCAGGACCTAGGTCTGTGCCCTGGGGACAGTCTAGGTGTGCAGAAATGGCCTACTCAGGTCCCCAGTTTGTCAGCCACCACCACGGCCAACAGAAGCGTCCATTAGTGAACGCCGTGTGTGGGCCCTAGCCTCCGTTAAGATTAGAGTTTCTTCATCTCGGCACTACTGGTGTTTCGGGCCAGGTGACCTTTGTCTCGCGGGCTGTCCTGTGCACTGTGGGACGTTTAGCAGCATCTCTGGCCTCCACCCACTAGATGCCAGGAGGCCTGCCCTCCTCGCGATAATCAAAAATGCTTCCAGGGCTTCTCAGCCTTGGAGCACGATGGCCCCCGCGGGGAAGCCCTGGTAAGGACCGCTGAATCCAATCGGGTCAGAGCCCTGCGTCCTCAGCTGGCAGGATAAGCCAGGGGCTCCTCGCTGGCAGCTCCCACTAAATGCAGGGGTTCCAGACGCAAAACTGGGTGCGTCTGCTGAGAGCCACGCTGCAGTCCCAGTGTCTCCGTGGCAGAAGACACGACGCTGACCAATACTGCCCGTCCTAGGGCTCTGGAGCCTCCGATCTAGAGGCCAAGGGCACGTAACCAGGGAGGATGTCCTTAGAGACACCTGGAGTGACAAAGCTGCAGAGGGCAGGCCTGTGACCCCTGCCCCTGGTGGCACTTTCTTTGCCGTTCTCCTTCCTGCCCCTTCTAACCGGCTCTGGCTTCTCGCTTCCCTCTTCCCCATCCCCTCCTCTCTTCTCTTCCTTCTCCTGCTCCCCGCTTTCCCCCTTCCTCCCCCTTATTTAGTTACGTCACAGTATTAAAGTATATGCCTAATTATTTACCATGTTGATTGAATGCAGTTACATATTCTTTATTCCTAATTTTGAATACAGAGAAATGGAAATTTTATTATTTCCTCTAAAATAAAATAAAAGGGCACCATTAAAAAAAGGCGGCTACACTGAAAGCCTTAGTGCTGGAGTGCCATGCACTCTTAGAACAAGCGGGTGACAGGGTCCTGTCCTTGGGGCATTCCCGCTCTTTGGCCGTCTCTTGGGCCCCTGCCTTCCCCGGCCTCCTTCCCTGACACCCACCACCTGCGGCAGAACGCCTCACAGCAGGTGTGGCCTGAGCCACCAAGGCCTCCTTGCTCCACCAATACCTGTGCCCCTTCGGGCGCCCTGCCACCGCCCTGCCCCCAGCCTCCCTCCCCGAGGGACACTCACTATTTGGCAGAGTCGTTGAGCTGATACTCCCGAGACCGGTTGAAGCACTCTTGGATTCCTGAGTCACCCCAGAGCCGCATCATGGCGGAAAGCAGCTCTGCAGAGAAGGGCTCGGTGTCTTCCATCCGGCTCACCACGTCACACACCATCTTGGCGTCGGCCTGTGAGGAGAGATGGGTGGGGGCTGTGAGGCTGCAGGGGACAGAGCCCCCTGGCCGGGACTGTGGTAAGGGCGCCACCAGGGCGGCAGGTTGACGGCTGAAGCCACAGCCTGCTCAGGAGGAGGCGCCACTATCTGCGTGCATGGCGGCTTCCTGGGGCCTGCGGGCTTTCTGTCACCTGGGAGTCCTAGCGCAGGAGTTTCAAGCCATGGCCCAGGGAGCCCTGGAGCATCCCGTGGGCAGAGGGGGAGAGCGGGCCGGGCTCTGTGCTCCACCTTCCAGCTAACCAGCAGCTCTGCTTTCATCTATTTTAAAAATGGGGTTTTGTACAGTATTTTGTTTGGGAAAAAAATCTTAAAAATTAATGTTTTTGGCTAGAGTTGTAATTTGCTACACTTCTTACCCAAGGTGGAGCAGTCGCTGGAACCGGGCTGTATCAGGGAGTGGCCGTTGGGCTGAGAATCGGGTGAGCAGAGGTACAGTGGAGCTAACTGCACCTTAGGGCGGGCAGCGGGGGGCTGGCTGTCAACCGAGTGCAGAGGGTGACAATCCCTCGTGCCAATATTCAATCTCAAGAACTGAGGCTCTTGGATCGCCCAAAGCTAAAACTTAATTTTACTGATTTTTATTTGTCTGTGACCTGTGTTCTACCTTCCTCTGGGTGCAGGCGAAGCCCAGGTCACACAAGGGAAGGGTGGAGGGGAAATGATGACCTTGGGCGCTCCCTCCTTCTCTGCCTCCTCCCCCTGCTCATCTGAGTGGGTGTAGCTGAACTTGCTCCAGGCGCACAGTGTAGGCTGGGACTCAGCCGGAACCGCAGAAAAAGTACCAGTACCGCATGATTAACAAGTTTCTCCCCTCCCCTGTCCTGGATACCAAACAGGGCTCACCTGTTTTCAAAGACTACGATCAAATACACATAGCATCATAGCACATAGACCAGGAGTGCGGTGGTCTCTGAAGACTCAGAGGCTCTTGGAGGAGTCCCAGGACTGCACACCACGACCTTGCACTTGCAAGTAGCACTTTACAGTTTACAAAGGACTCTCACATGCCCACACACACCCTGCTTCCTCAGAGCGCCACATCCCTGCATGGGGGACCTACGTCCCTGAGCCTGATGCTCTACCCTGCCTCATACCCAACCCTTGGCCCTGCATTCACCTTCATGATGCAAAAAGAGATATAAACTTAACAAATGATATATTTTTAAAATAAAATTAATTTTGACCAAAGAAAGTACAGCTGACCTTTGAATAATACAGGTTTAAACTGTGCAGATCCGCTTAGACACAGATTTTTTTTTTCAGTAAATACAGCTGGCCCTTCGTATCTGTGGGTTCTGCACGCGCAACCAAAGGTAGATTAAAAACACAGTATTCTCGGGATGCGCAAACCACGGATATGGGGGGGCCAGCTTTCCATACGCCCCCTGTGGGACTTGAGTAGGCTTGGATACCCTCCACCACGAGAGGGAGAACATGCTTCCTGTCTCCTTGGCTTTGGGCACAGCCACAGGACTTGCTGTGGCCCACAGTGTGTGTTTGTCTGTCCTCGTGGGCCTACCGCTGCCACGAACATGCCCGAGCACTCTCGTTTACCCAGGAAGAGGACCTGGGACGCACAGTGCAGAGCTGAACCGGGATCTCTGGTCCTCAGCTACACCAAGCGGCTCGGTTGCGGGGAGGTCTGTGGTGGCAACAGCTAACACAGTAGTTGCTGTTAAGTATTATCACCCCCAGTTTATAGGTGGGGAAACTGAGAGCCACGGAGAGGAAGGTGCTCACCTAAAGTCACAGATGGTGAGTGGCAGGGCTGGGACTCAAGATTAGGAGCCCTCCGACTCCAGGGCCAGCCTCTGTGGCCAGAGCCCGGTGTGCTGAGAGCAGTCACTGACCACGGCAAACGGTACCTGGGGGAGGGTCCAGACCAAGCGTGACGTGGCGTCACCCAGAAAGGTCTGCGCTCCATCTGAGACGATCGCTGCTTCTAATGTCTACCTGAGGGCAGGTGGGGGGAAGCGGTGCTGTCTCCAGCCCATTCATACCCTCACTGCCCCCGTGCGCCGACTGGCCTCCCGCTTCTGCCTAAGGAGCTCTCTGCTCCTGGTGCGTGGCGGGCTGCACCATCTGGGAGTCAGCGCCCAGGACACACAGTTGGCAGGCAAATACCTGGGCGGCCCTGCCCTCCTGGGAGACAATTCTGGGACAGGCTCCACACTGTCTCTCAGAGGATCCCCTGGGGATGGAGCCCACCCACAAACTCACTCTGCTGGGCTCCCTCCCGCCCCTGCTCCCTCCCCACTGGCCCCGGGCTTCCTGCAGTGACCTCCCAAATAAATTCCTGGTCTCACCGGATCTTTGTATTGATCCTTGTCTCAGGTCAGTTTCTAGAGGGACCCAAAGCAGGATGACAGGCACCTGTCTAAGCCCAGGCAACACCCCCCCCCATTTGCTCACTCTTCACACGCTTCTCTGGCTGGCAGGATTTTGCTCAGATCACTCTCCTGACTAAAGAGCAAGGTTACCACCACCCAGGAGGCCCCCCTGTCCCTGCCAGTATCCCAGGACTCCCTGAGAACACGTCTCCCATGTGACCACTGCCCACTGCGCCTCAGTGCGTGCTCCTGCTGCTTGGCACGCATGGGTCCCAGCGACAGGGTGGGGGCGCCCTGCACCCTCGTGCCCCAAAGCCCACAGTCCTGCAGACACCTGTGGTCTTCCCCTGGGATTTTTCAAGTGGGGCCAGCTTAAGAGGCTATGTCCCCAGAGTCACTGGCATCACCAAGACCTGTGTCCCCCAACCTATGGAGAAGCCTCTCAGAATAGAGCTAGCAGAAAGAAGCAGGAAAGTGTCGAGGTGCTTGGGTCCCTGAGGCTGGGTCCCCTCACCCTCTCTGAGGTTGGTTTCTGCCACTCCTACACACCAAGGCCTGACACCAGGTCTCAGAGTAGACACGCAGCTAGAAGAGGTGGGTGCATGGAGCTGGAGAGGGCACAGGGCCAGAGTGGGCCCCAGTGAGTCCTCGTGGGCTGGGCTGTTGGGCCCCTCCTCCAGCGCCTTGCCCCTGGTTTCAGCCTGCACAAATCCTCGAACCCAGGGTGACACTGAGCCCCTCCTGGGGGCTGGGAGTGGGATGTGCCAGGCCTACCATCTCCCTGACCTCCTGGGATCTCGAGAATTGGAATATTTTATTCATTAATGCAATTACTATTGCTAGACATTACTCTGCTGCAAGCCCTTTCAACCCCCAACTCTCCAATTAGGCCAGAGGAGAGAGAGACGGCCCAGCCCAGGCGCGTGGCTCAGGGAGTGGGTGGGAGGCACTGGAAATCTGCCGGTGTCCTTTGGGATGAGCAACACAGAGGAAACCAAGTCAGCACCTGGAAGGTTTGTGGCCAACTTAAGGTTCTGCACAAAAGGAACGTGGGGCCGAAGCCTTACTGGAGACGTTTCCAGAACGGAGCTGTCTGGCTAAGTAGCTATGTACGTGTCAGAGCCTGTCCACTGCACAAGGTTGACGGGAAAGTTCCGGCAGCGGTGCCCCCTCCCCACTGCCTGCTCTGGGAAGGAGGTGACAACTGGCATGGAGGCTGGAAGGCTGAGCCACCTGCTACACCAGACCCAGCTGCCCAGGGGCCCTGTCCCAAAGACCCCCGACATGGAGGCTGCCCACCAAGGAGGCCTGGCCTCTGGAGTTCAGGGCTGGGATGGGTGGCAGTGACCTAGAAAGCTAGGACTGGGCCTGGGCCTTGGGTGCCCCAGGCAGACAGTGATGACTCAGGGAGGTAAGTGGGTGGGCAAGGGTGGCACTTCCACCTGGGGCTAAAAACAGTACAAGGCCTGTGAGTCCGGGCCCTGCAGCTGATCCTGCCTGGCCCACCTCGGGGGATCTCGGTGTGTTTTCCCATCTGAGGTGTGGACCTGGCCAGAGTTTTCCAAACTTCCTCCTTTGGGCGCCACCTTCATGGAGCAGGCAGGGCTGGCAAGACTCCTCCAATCTGAGCACCCTGGAGCCAAGACCCACTCGAGAGGGTGTGATTTATAAACTGTGGGCCCCCCAAAACCCACTTTGTCTTCCGATCTTTGTTTGTCCATGCATGACCTGGAATTTTATGAATCCCATCCCAGGGGGATGTATCCCACCGTTTGGGGACCGCCGATTCCCTGGGATTCTCCAGTGGACAGCCCAGGGGTGTGGGGCCTTCCCCCCCAACTTTGCATCCTCAGGGTGTTGGGGGTGGGGTCAGGCGTGGGGTCCTGAGCTGGCAGCACCCCCGCCCCCATCCTTCCTGCTCTCTCCTGACTTCCCCACCTGCCCATCTGCTCAAAGCCAAAGACCAGGAGTCCTGCCTGACTTTGCCTCTTCCCTCGCATGCCCAGCGCCCTGTCACTTCTCCTCATCTCCTCTGTCACCCTGAGTCCAAGCCACTGCTGTCTGTCTCCTAGCCGTCCTTAGTCCCCTCTCAAGGGCTCCCCGCCTCGGTCTTGCTTCTCTCCAGTCTGTTCCCTACCCAGCAGGAGACTGTTAGTTCCCTCTTAGCACCAATTCCCCCGTTCTCCTTTAGAAAAAGATCCCCAGATTTTTAGCTGGGTACACTGACATCAGCAAAAAGACCATATTTCCTAATTTTGCATGCAGGTAGGTGTGACCACGTGACAGGTTCTGCACAATGAGAGGTAAGCTGAAATGCTGTGAGGTCTCTGGAGAAATCATTTTAATGGCAAGGGGAACCCTTTATCTCTCTCTCCCTTCTTCCTACTGCTTAGAACTTGGATGTGATGGCTGGAGCTCTAGCAGCAAAGTTGGATCATGAAGACAAGGTCTGGTGGAACAGTGGACAGTGGAACAGTGATCTAGAAACCTGTCCCTCACCTTTATTCTGGACTTCTTAGGCCCTGAGCAAAGAAGCTGGCCAGACTGTGCAGCACTTTTAACTTGCTGTAATAAATAGATGTGGTTTTAAGTTGTAAAAATAAATAAATAAATAAATAAAAAC